GGTTATCCTTATCTTTTGATAAAAATGAAAATAAAAAATACACAATGGTAGAGTAAAAGGAGTAATTGTGTAACATTAAAAATTATAGAATTTCATATTTTCTAAATTTTATTAAAATTATTTGATAACCTAATAAAAATATTCATGATAAAATTTAGAAACAAATTACTAAAAAAATAATTAAATAATAAATTAAAAAACTTAAAATAGAAACAATGATGCGTCAATAAATTTTTATTTTTTTAAATTAAATTAACCTAACAATGAAAGAATACAATACAAATATGTTATGAAACATTGTTGAGTTTTTTCCAGTAATATTATATATAAAAAAATATCTAAATAGAATGGAAGTCATTTTAAATACTCAAGTTGGACAACAATTTTGGCTTCAGAATTCGGTTATCAGGAAACCGAATTCTGAAAAACTTTTTCTTGTTTGTTTTTGTTTAGAGTTTAGTTTTATTTTATGTTTTTATATAATAAAACAAATATTATTATTTAAATTATATTTATATATTTATATTTTATTAAAATAAATATTTATAAATATTTTATTAGTTATATATAATAAAATAAGTTTTATTATTTGAATTATGTTTATATTTTTATATTATTTAAAAATGAATAAAAATAATAATATTATTAAATTTAAATGTTTATTAAAATTTATTTGACATATTTAAGATAATAAATAATTTTTTTATTATTATATTATTTAATATAATTTTGATTTTTTGAAAATGATATTAATATTATATTCTAAAATTATATTTTTAGTTATTTAATATTATATTTTAAAAAAATAAAAATTACAATAATAATTTATTTAATTTTATATATTTATAAAATAAGTAAAAGTATTAAATAATAACTAGTTTATTTATTTATTTTGAGATATCAATCTTTATTAAAATTTATACATACTTATTTATTTAAAAAATATGTTATTAATATTAATAAACATAATTAAATAATATTATATAGATATATTATATAAATAATTATATATTTAATATAAATTACAAATACTAAAAGTTTAAAAGTTGCAATGACATTCATAAAATTAAAAATGACATTAAAAAAATTTTAAAATAATAACAACAACATAAATCAATGGCGGGAACTAGAAGCTTGAGCGTTGTTTGGACATGTCTTTCGTGTGTGACCAGGGGTATGACAATAAAAATAATTTTTTGCCTGACTTTGTTATTCTCTAATGTTCATATATGTTCTTATCCTACTCTCTCATACCAAAGTTTATTTATAAATATGTTCATCAAAGGCCAGTTGTTTTCATTCAAACTTGCATCTATCTTTGTTCTTCGTTTCTCTCTGTCTTTGCTCCCATTACTAAAAATGTTGTTTTGGAAGAAAAATGAACATAGGTCCGCCTTCATTGAAAGAACGGTAAGTTTTACACATTACCATTATTAACTGAATATGTAAATCAATATTCTATATATAATGTTACTAATTTATTAATAACTGCAAGAAACTAAAAACATGATTTCATCTTTCTGTCATTCAATGCTAGAACTCAGTCCTCTAGTTGTTCCTATACTTGAACAACTTGGTTTTGCTAAGATAGTAAAGTTAAAGCATCTTAAGGTGGATCACACATTGATAATAGCTTTGATCGAGAGGTGGAGACCTGAAACTCACACATTCCATTTTCCAACAGGAAAGTGCACCATAACTCTGAAGGATGTTGCATACAGAGATGTCCAACTGTGGACATCATGTACCGTCATCCTTTGTTTTACAATTGTTGAATGGCACCAAACAGATAGAGTCAAATTACAGTTTCGTCTCTTCCAAGAAATCCCTTTTTCACCGAATAATTTGAATGACCTCAACAAAATTGACATGAGAGGAAGACAAGATAAAAATTGGGTTACAAGACATGCTCAATGGATCGAGATATGGAACAATAGACGTGAGCTGATAATAACGAGTCATCCAATGCAAGGTCTATTGTGTCACACACAAGAATACATGGAATGGTATATTGCCAATTCAATTTATTTCTTATCTATGTCACCACTACTATGAGATCTAAGGAAGAGCGACCAACAACTAAGGACTGCCAACACATTTGAAATTGGTACGACTTCTACATCGTCATGCCACGAGACTGCATCAATTCCTCTGAATATTACGCCAGAAACAAACATAATTAACACAAGACATTCTTTTACAACAACATCAAAGGATTTTTTTACAAACTTATTTGGAGTTGATTTTACAACTTTATTTTCAGCACAAACTTATATGCAGTCTCTTTACCAACTGAATTTTTTCTTATGAACCTGGTAATTCATCAAATGCATTCCAACAACTAGACCTTAATAATGATCCAAATCCTCCACAAGTTCATCCTGAAATCCTAGAGTAAAAATCACAACGACAAAACTCACCACGTCACAGACGTTGCCCTCATTGTAGAACTGACCACCATTACAGACATAGTTAATTATTAATGTTGTTATGAATTTGTTATCATTTTTATTAATACACTTTGTCTTCATCAATGTTACATTAGTAATATGAAAACGTTAATTTCAAAATATTTGTCTCAACTATAAATAATTAACTTATAATTTAATATTTTATTTACTTTTTAAAAATATACTCCCTCTGGTCCTTTTTATAAGAAACAAAAGACTAAATCTCCATGATCAAGGAAAATAATTAAGTTACTTATGTTTTCCATAAATACCCATGATATTTAATGTTGTAGTTAGTAATTTGTACAATTAATAATACTAATAAAAGAAAGGTATAAAAGAAATTTAACAATTAATGCTTATTGAATCTATCATTTATTTCTTATAAAAAGAACCAAAGAAATGTTCTATTTTATTTTTTATAAAAAGGAACGGAAGGAGTATTTTTTATTTTCAAATAAAATTTATTCAAAATTATAATAGTAAAGTTTTAGAGTTTAGGGTATTAAAAAATTATAATATTAAATAATGTCATTTTTAAAAAAACTAATTTAATTAAAATAAAATTTTTATTCAAAATATCATTTTATCATACTAATATTTAAAAATATTAAGTCAAAATTACATATTTAAATAAATAAAATAATATTTAATATATTTATTTAATTTTTTAAAATATATTTATTATTCTTTAAGTATAAATAATCTAAGTATTAACATTATTATCTAAAATAATATACTTATTATTTAAATATTTTAATTAGTTTTTCAAAATATCTAAAATAATTTATTTATTATTTAATTATTTTTATTAATTTTTAAATATTATAAAAATATAAACATAATTTAAATAATAAAACTTATTTTATTATATATAACTAACAAAATATTTATAAATATATAAATATAATTTAAATAATAATATTTATTTTATTATATAATAACATAAAATAAAACTAAACTTAAAAAAAAAAAAGCAATTCAAAATTCAGTTACCTGAATATCAAGATTGTTGCTCAAAATTTAGATTTAATTGAATAATTAAAATGGTCTTCATTCTATTTAGGTTTTTTTTTTTATTTTAATATTGCTGTGAAAAACTCAACATTGGTTGGTATAAATACTGTAGCCTTGTTTTTTGATCACACAACCCCTCGGTCTTGGCATCCCTCTTAGGGATGGAAACAGACCAGGCCGCCTGACAGGGGCCTGTGGCTTGGCCTGATTTAGGCCTGACCTGACCTGACCTTTTTAATAAATAAACTAGGCTTAGACTTTTTTTAAAGCCTGTTTAAGTAAATGAACCAGACTTGAGCTGTTTATAAAGCCTGTTAAGCCTGACATGCTGACCTGTATAAAAATATATATATATATATATATATATATATATTATAATTTAAAAATAGAGCTGTCAAAATATATTAAAATAATTAAGTTATTTAATAATATATTTTTTATATTCTTAATTTTGTTATTATTAAATAAATATATTATGTTATAATTTTATTTATTTATAATTATAATAAACATAAATTATATTCTATTAAATATTAAAAATATTTATACATGATTACACTTTTTAAATAATAAATTTATTTAATAATAAGTTATTGCATTTATTATATTTAAAAAATTTAGAAAATAGTTAAATCTTTGCTAACAGGCTTCAGGCCAGGTCAGGCCTAAAATAAAGCCTTTAACAGGTAACAAGTCAGGCTCAGGCCTAATAATTATGTAACAGGTCAGGCCTGTTTAGAGTAAAGCCTGGGCTGACTTAACCTGTTTCCATCTCTAGTCCCTCCCCACTCTTTTGAACACACAACCCCTGTTCTTTCTGCCATCATCCATCACTTCTCAAAGATCGAAGATGTCAACCATGCTGGAACAATCGAAAAACCAGAAAGCTGTCCCTCAACATGGCCCTCTACCTGCGAGCAACTTCAGGTTCAAAGATATCTTCTTTTTTATATTTATTATTCTTTAAGTATAAATAATCTAAGTATTAACATTATTATCTAAAATAATATACTTATTATTTAAATATTTTAATTAATTTTTCAAAATATCTAAAATAATTTACTTATTATTTAATTATTTTAATTAATTTTTAAATTTTTTAATTATTATTATTTTTTAAAAATATTATTTATTATCTTATGTCAAATAATTTTAATAAACATTTAAAATTAATATTATTTTTATTTTTATTGATTTTTAAATAATATAAAAATATAAACATAATTTAAATAATAAAACTTATTTTATTGTATATAACTAACAAAATATTTATAAATATATAAATATAATTTAAATAATAATATTTATTTTATTATATAAAAACATAAAATAAAACTAAACTCTAAAGAAAAAAAAAAAAATTCAAAATTCGGTTACCTGAATATCAAGATTGTTGCCCCAATTTTAGATTTAATTGAATAATTAAACTGGTCTTCATTCTATTTAGGTTTTTTTATTTTATTTTAATATTGCTGTGAAAAACTCAACATTGATTGGTATAAATAATGTAGCTTCGTTCTTTTGATCACACAACCCCTGGTCTTGGCGTCCCTCCCACTCTTTTCAACACACAACCCCTGTTCTTTCCTCTGCCATCATCCATCACTTCTCAAAGATCGAAGATGTCAACCAAGGTGGAACAATCGGAAAACCAGAAAGCTGTCTCTCAATATGGCCCTCTACCTGTCGTCGAGCAACTTCAGGTTCAAAGATATCTTCTTTTTTATATTCTTACTCACCTCATTTAGTTTTTCCCCCCTTTATATACCTTTTTCGCATTTCAATTCACACCCATTATATTTTAGGGCAAAAATCTCTTTTGTGTTTTCTGTTGATACCTAACGCTTAATCACAATGTCAGACATTGGATATAGCCTCCACAGATGTTAAAAAGTTTAAAGGAATCAGAAAAGCTGAAGTTGACAAGGTTATCGAAGCAGGTATTATTCACCTTCATAAAATAATATTAATAAGTATATTCGAATACTAGTCTTTCTTTTTTTGGAAATAATTTCATTTTTTTATTTATTTTAGAAAAAACATTTCTATTTAGAATATATTTCATATTTATTATTCTATAAATATTCATTAACATAATAATCAGTAACATAATAATAATTCTCAAATGTTCATTCAAATCGACTAATAATTAATACTAACCCAGTATATTTTTCACATTCATAGGAGTCATTTATTTTTCTGCTCTACGAATGTGATATTTTTTGGGCATTTCTAATTTTATCAAGCTTTATCCCTATTTTGGCATTTTTAATTTCTGGAATTTTAGCCCCGATTAGCAAAAGACCAGAAAAACTTTGAGAATCTATTATCCTTGGCCATTTCTTTTGATTGTTATGAAGGTCTTCTGATGTTTGCTTTCTTTTCTTTATTTACAGCTTCTAAGCCTGTGCCTATGGATTTTATTAGTGGTAGTGAACTCCAGGCCAAGCGCAATGCAACCATTCAGATAACTACAGGATCAAGAGAGCTTGACAAGATATTGGAAGGTCAGAATCAGAAACAATAACACCTTGTTTAATGTCTGTGTGGAATTCACTGTTAGTGTCTTAAACTTGATACTGCTGTTTATGCCAGGTGGAATTGAGACAGGTTCTATCACTGAGTTACATGGTGAATTTGAAACTGGGAAGACTCAATTGTGTCTCACTCTCTGTGTCACTTGCCAGGTCTTTACGGCAGTCAGAATACATTCATGCTAAATAAGTTGTTGTAGTGTATTCAGTTTCAAACTTGTCTTGTCATGTTTGGCATGAAATTTGAGTTTGTGAAGCTATTGGTTCATACATACTGTGTCATACCTTTGCCTAATGTTTCAATTTATTGTTGATGTTGTAGTTGCCACTAGACAAAGGAGGTGCTAAGGGGAAAGTTATGTACATAGATACAGGGGGCTCATTTAGGCCTCAACGACTCTCACAGATAGCAGATAGGTATAATGATTCTTGATATTAAGACTTTGCTTGCATGTGTCTTTGATATGTTGGTATGTCCATTCAATATTTATGTTTCTTTTTGCTACAGGTTTGGATTGGATGGGTCTGATGTATTGGGAAATGTCACTTATGTTAGAGTGAATAACACTGATCAGCAATCACGGTTTCTGCTGCAAGCAGCTTCAAAGATGGTGGAAACAAGGTGTGACTTTTGATGGTTCCCTTTGCTCAGTTTTGTTTAGGTCTGCCAAAATCAACATAATATGCCTTTTAAATACGCATAATGATAAACAAGTGCATTATGCTTATCTTGATTTATCATAGGCTAGCATTATTACCAGATGAAGTGGCTGTGTTTTATTCCTTTGTGTTTTTTTTTTCTTGGGCCCAGACCCAGAGTTGTTAGATTTCCTTAAATAGTGATATTTGATTCTGCAAGTAAGAAAACTCTTTTTGTTTGGGTGGCAAAACATGCTCTTGAGGCTTAAATTTTGATTGATATACACAGGTTTGGTTTACTGATAGTAGACAGTGCTATTGCCCACTATAGAACAGATTTTGGTAGGGGAGAGTTTTCAGACCGGCAAATGCATCTAGGCAAGTTTCTGAGGAACCTTCAGAAATTAGCATATGAGGTAAAACTCATTGTTGGGCTGGCAGTGCACCTAACTTTCTTGGTCAAACTAATTCAAGATCCTGGCTTAGGATATTAAATTACATAACATAGTAGTTTGGAGCTAATAAGTTTTTTTTATTCTTTAATTGTAGTTTGGTGTGGCTGCTGTAATAACAAATCAAGTAGACGGTGGTGAACCTAAGCCTATTGGAGGCAACATTGTGGCTCATGCTGTAACAACAAGGTCAAATTTGAACTGCAGAATATGAAATGTTTCTTTTTTATTTCTTCTTTAAGTTTGACCCTTAATTTCTTGATGATAGGTTAGCTCTCATGAAAGGAAATGGGAAAGAGCGAATATGTAAAGTGATAAGTTCTCCGTGTTTGGCCAAAGCTGAAGCAAGATTTCAGATTTGTGCTGAAGGAATTGTGGACGTTAAAGACTGATATAATCAAATTTACTTTTTTACCTGTGCTTGTGTCTTTTTGTGATATACATCCTTAGTTTTAGAGTTTTTTGAACTTCTCTTGAATGATGGATATTCTTCTCAAGATCTATTTCTTTTGCCAAAGATTTCTCAAGCATTTGCAGAATATATGTTTGTTGCTCAACCGTTTGAAGTGTTAGCCCGGCATTTACATTCAAAAATTTATCATCTTCTTTGATGATTTCACCTGCTTCACAGTTATCTGTTGTCATCGAAAATGCACCAATAAGATAAAAAGAAACCTTTATTAAAAAAATGCAGACTTATTCACATTAATTTATTCTTAATCAAGGAACAGAAATTTTGAGCCAGACCGTTCAATGTCCTCAACAGAACAAACTTTCTTTCTTTCTTTCTTTCTGTTTCTAATTTTATAATAGAAGTAATCCTAAAGAAAAGTTCTGGCTGACTTTTATAGGATCAATTTCACATGGAAATAGAAGAGAAACCCCATATAATTTAGAACAGAAATAAAAGAATGCCCTTTTTAACATAACTTCATGAAAACATAAAATTTGTAAAGAAATGTGTTAGAAACTTAGAATATTATGAAAATATTCAATATTATCTACTTCGTATCTCAGAATATCGACCTTCTAGGGTCAGTTTCCTATTTCCTCAATATATCTTAAGATTGATTACCATATCTCCGTATTTCATGATTTGTTTCTACGTATTTAGGATCATGATTAGTATAAACAAGGGTTAGTGGTCTAACCTTTCATGAATAATTCTAAATCATCTTACCTTTTACGCCAACAAATTCTCCTAATTACTAAATGGAGAAACTGTAAAATATTTTTTATATTTTCAAGATGTAAATGCATATAGTTGTTCATTTAATACCTAGTTTATAAAGTTGGAGGAGGATTATTAGGAAGATCTGTAGGAGGACATAGCAAAACTCATCAAGTCAATATCAATTTCGTAGTATTTTATAACTATTCTTTCTATCATCTCCCTCTACACCTAAAACCTGATAATATCAACAAAATGAATAAAATGAGATCCCCAGCATACTGTTTTCTGCCTTCTTAAAAGAAGACAAAGTCCTCACAAAACTAGCTGATTGCATCTTAATATCATTAAACTGCTCTTCAGACTGCTTCAACTTTTGTTCAGAATCAAGCAATTTGTCTTGCATTGCCATGAAAGCCTCTCCCAAGTGAGTGCAAGAACACTCTCTCTCTCTAACTTCAGCAATCCAAGCTTGAAGACTGTCCAAGAATCCTCCCAACTCTCTTACCTCTGAATCCAACACCCCACATAACAGATCAAATTCCACACACTTTTCCAAAGAACCAAGCCCCCTGTGATCCTCCAAATCCAAGGACTTAAATTCACTCTCCATGGTTGCAAGATGCATCACAAAAATGCTCAAGTTGGAACTTTCTCTGAGAAACAAGCCAAACTAAAATCCAGCTTTGTAAGCATTGTACTGCAAACAATGCCCAGATCTCCCACTGCATCTCTATTTGATGATGAAACAACACCTTCAAGATCAACATTGACATCAAAAGTAGATGATGTAACTGCTTCAAGTTCTGCACTTTGAGCGCTGATTCTAACACCCCACTTACTAAAAGTAAAAAATTTAAGAATTTTAGTTGTCACAAAGTGGATCCAATGAATTTGGGTGAAGAGATTGGGAAAAAGAGGAACTTGAACAAAGTTACAGAGTTTGAACAGTAGAATACGGAGACAGAATCAGAATTTTCCAATTTACAATGTTTCGGATAGAATAAGAAATTACATCATACCGTTGATCCGATCTATAACTTGCAGTTTCCATGTTACATCCCGCCCTTAACGCAACGTTTTGGGTCCAGTGTCATTAGTTTTTTTTTTTATAATGGCTATTAATTTTTAGGCTTGAATATGATTCAGTGTTTTAAAATATATTAAATTTTAATGCTTATAAAATTAATTTTTAAAATTTTCACGTTTTTCAAAAATTTCTTCTTTTTAAATATAGAGATTAAAATGGCAAAAATAATTTTATAGGAATCAAAATCAAAATCAAAATATAATATATTTTGAAGAACGAAATATATATTTAAGGCTACTTTTATTTACTGTTATAGTTTTTATTTACATGTGGATTGGTCAAAATATTTATTTAAAACATTTTAGTATGGTTTGCTTTCATTGTTAAGAAGATTTTTTTAAAAAGTATTTTGATAAAAACAATTATAAAATAATATTTCTTTGCAGTAAGACAATACAATGATTCAATTCTAATAATCAATTTAAATTTTGGATTTTTTTTTCAAACTCATTTCTTCACACTTCCTTGTGCTCCTTTTGCTCATTATTAAAACTTACTTCTTTGAATCTCTTTCCACTAATTAAGTCATCTTCACTTTATATTTATCAGTAACTTTTTCTAGATTCACTTTTCTAAATTGAAATTTTAGTTTTGAAAATAATAAGCCTCCACTGGTTGGTACCTTAATATTTTTTAACAAAAGTCCAGCCAAAAGCATAAATAATATTGCAAAGAAATATTTTCTATTTTTATGTTTTATTAAATATTCATATAAAATGATAAAAAAATCATTTCAACTACTAATAAAAACACAAAATAATTTTTTTTAACTAAAGTAAGCATATTAGTAAGTTTTAATTATCAGTAATGTTTAAAAAATACACGACACATGGAGAGAAAGAAATTGATGTGCCAATGTTAATCCCTTCCTCAACAACTGAAGACTAATCCTTTTTGAGCTGAATAAATTATTAAAGTGAAATATAGTTTCTTCAAACAAAATATATTCTATACATGTAATCAATTAAGAATTAAAGTGACACTAACTTTAATTTCATTGAAGTGATTATAATTTCTTTCAACAAAATTACGTGGGAGTGAATTTTCGATACTTCTGTAATACGCACTTTCTTTGCTGATTTATTATTTATTTAGTAACTTCCTCTTTACTTTTAATTTAAAAAAACAAATAATAAAAAAATTATTCCAAAGAAATAAATAAAAGAGATATAAGATAAATATAAAATTTGAGGGTGAAAAATAATTATAATTATATATTCTTATCGATAGGTAATGCTACTTGAAATTTAATTTCTTTTTTCTTAATGACTACTTGAAATTAAAAGAAAAGAAATTTGTGAAATCACATAAAGCCCCTGGCCGACACCAGAACCACAAGGCCAACCATGCAGTGTCCTCTCCTTTTCTCTCCCATGTTCACTGTTTTGTTTAAAACATTATCTATGTGGGTCATCATTCTCATGCTACAATATCTCATTTTTCTTACTTAATTTTAATAAATTTTGTAAGTTTTGTTACAAAAATATAATTACATAAACATAATCATGCATGACACATGAAGCGTGAGATCAATTAGAAAACTAGTTCCTTGTATATTTATCAAACCTTGTACTATTTGCCTTTATACTATACAATGTTCCAAACATGACACAATGAATATCAAATTTATGTAATATGAATAAATAAATGATTTGTCAAAAAAAAAATAAAAAATCCCCAACTATACACCTTATGTGACTCTGCCAAGTAGAAGTAAGCATGACTTAGAAAATCTATAGTAGAATCTAAGTGACAAATCATATCAGCAAGCCCATGTAGGGCCGTAAGGCGGAGAATTGCATTGTGTTACAAAGAGTAGGAAAAAAAATTCACAATTTTTAAATTTTATAACAAATATCCAAATAAAGCATTTAAAATTTTTCTGTCACACAAAATAAATAAATATAAAAAAAATCAAATTATACCAATGTAAATAACACTCACTTTTACACCATCAATAACTACATAAAATATGATTTTCATTAATCCAATCATTCAATTATAATTATTTATGACCTTGACTATGGGTGTTAAAGTTTATCAATCAACAAAAATGTATATAACTAAATAGTCTTTATTTTCATATATTTTTAAAATATAAATTATGTTAATTTTAATGTATATGAAATAAGATATCAAATAATTTTCCATTGATTTAAAATGTTACATATATAATTTATGTGATTAGAACTTTAAATCTAACAATTGATTTTAAGATTAAATTATCCAATAAAAAATTCTTAAACAATGCAAGAATGGGTATAACTTATACTATATATATGTCTCCTATTTCTCATGGCCACATTCTAGCCATAAACACCTTGGATTGACTCTAAACCTTATATTGAACTGATCATACAGTGAAGTCTAATACTAGATAAAGGATTTAATATGCAATTATGCCTAACACACCACAACAAATTCTTTAGTCATGGTAATTTCACAACAACAAGACAAGATAATTCAATATGTTACAAAGAATTCAAATATGCTGACGCATTGCTTAAATCTTGATCATGAATCTGGAAGACCATGCATAAAAATTGTCCTCCCAGAACTGTATTTTCAACACTATTCCTATGGAATCAATTGATGAAAAACTTCTAGTTCTTGTTAAGTAGATAGCATATGTTGTTGTGATGCTCTTCTGCTTGCAAGCTTTCATAATATTTGACAAGAACCTTCCATCCACTTGGCACATAAACCATCTGGTGGATTCTCCCACTTCTTGCATAACCCCGCGTCTAGAAATATAAATCACCAAAGAAAACATAAAATTTTGCAAGGAACAGTTGTCCAATTGTCAAAGGAATTCAGAATCCAACTTATGATGCATGTTATTCACTTTAGTTATGTCTCTTTTGGCAAATTTATTTAAATAATGCTAATTTAAAAACAAATTCTCAAATTAGGATTTTTTTTAAACATATTCCCTGTCTGGTGCAAATTTTAGCCAAATCATCACCTGTATCGCACCTGCATATACGATAGCCTATTTTTTTAATTTTTTATTTTTTTAATAAACTATCAATGATGTCTAATCGATACTTGCTTAGATTTATACACATGTTGAAATTAGAGGTGTATTGTTTATTTTTAAACGATAGATAAGTCGTTAGTCAAAATGCGTAAAATCTATCGATTATCAAGGAGCGATACAGGTGGATGAATGACACGTGTCAACTAGATAACTGTATCGGTTAGTCTTGAGAGATAGCCAATTCGCTGGTCCAGCTGCGTCAGCACTATCGCCCTGTAGAGTGCGATACAAGTGGGTACCTGCCACGTCTCTAC